TGTGAGAACTATCAAGTGTATGTGACAAAGTTGTTTAAATCATACACAAGTCAAAGTAACATTTTAATTAAGTTACAATTAGTAGTACAGTTGTTCAGTGGATGTGGAAGTGTAGCTGTAGTGCTGCAGGAGGATTGTGAGTTGTGTGCTGTTTTTGAGATGGAACGCCATTATCCTTACCTTCCTATCCCTCTATTTGGAACGCTCTCTCTTCAATCAGCACTTAGCGCCTCGCCCTCCCTGCCTTAGTGTTCTCAATGCTCTCTCATTGATCAGGAAGGTTTAGCTGACATCATCGTTCCATCTCCATCTCTCATTCCTTCTATTTTCAACCCCTACTTCCCCATGTTGCTCTGATTAATTATGTATATCAACTATTTGGGCTCTCTCTCCTGCTTGCTTCTCACTGTAAACATTGCACCAGTACAGTTTAAAAATTCTGAAGAAGAAACTCTACAAGTCAATGAGTAGCAGTTTAACAATCATTTTACTTGAATTCTCAAAACAATTTAAGGTGAAGGATATTGGGATATACTTTGATGGTAGAGATGTTCTTCATTCTTAAGGCAGTATTTGTCCTCTGTGGAATTGATGTAACAGATAAAAGACGTTCATTTGATCATTTACAGTTGAGAAATATGTGTGCGACTCAGCCAATCACAGTTCTATAAAGGATGCAATGTTATTCAATGGTATAACCTTAGCACAGTGGTAACGTTGTAATTCAATTGTAGGGAATACGTTGTCAAAAACAAAATGTTGCTGCGTACGACTTTTACAAGCGTATCCCCTGCCAGCCTTTATAAAGTGAATCGCCTAGTTTAACAATCAATAGCATTGATAGCAACAGCTGTCTTTTGTTTGAGTGACAGTAGGAACAGGATGTCACTGCTTTACCCATGGCTGTGTCCTGCCATATGAAATGCCCTGATACATTAGCATTCCGTTAGATAGAACAAAGACATATCCATGCAACATGTCCATGTTTGAATGCATCGTTGCATTGTAAAAAGAGATTAATGAATGATAAACTTGTAAGAATTAAACTAGATTTAGATCTGGCCAAAATACTTACATCTAGCAGTAACTTCTTAATCCACAGAGAAACCTTCAGTTAGGTGTGTAAGACCAAGCTGCAGCTTTTGATAACCCCTAATGTGGCTGGAGAGCCTCTTCAAGCTCTAACGTTTTTAAATTGAGGAGTGAAGTGGGACCAAAGAGGTTTAGTTGACACGTTATATTACTCTTTGAGATTGAGTAGAAGCTGCAGAGTTTATATTGTCTAAACATCTTTGTATTGCCTCTGTGATGCTTTATTCTGCCGTTAAAGTTGCACGTTTATAAAGTAAATTGCCTAGTTATTTTTATTAATAGTGGATTTTTTGTTATTTGTTCTAGTTATTGCTAGTGATGTTAGGGTTAGGCCTCCAAACTCACATTGGTTTCTCATACAGCATCTCTGTATTCACTCTGTCCTAAACGGCTTGTTGGAGCTCCTGCCCCCCCCCCCTCCCTGTTAGCCCAGTGTGCTCTGATTGGTCAGGACGTGAGAGGCTCGCTGCTCACTGAGCTGGCTTACTGGTGTGGTTTCCGGGTCAGCGGGACAGCGCAAAACTCATCCTGAGCACACAAACACTCACAGCCGAAGTAAAAACAATAAGTGTGGCTTGATATTGAGAAAGAAAAAGGTTTTTAACGCTGTGAGAATGGGTCTGCAAAGAGCATTTCTCCGCCATCCCAACTCGTCTATTACCAACCAGGGGACTCCCTGTTAGTTGAAAATGTAGGCTAAAGGTCCCCACCCCTCCAGGTGTGTGAGGAGCTCCGCGGATTGGTCCATTTTGGTTCCGGGAACCGCATGACGTCATGCGGTTCCCGGAAGAAACAAATGGAAAAAGAGAAATGTCCAACGAGGCGTTCTGGGGCAGCACAGACAGGTATATTCTGTGTTAGAGTTTTACTCCCTACAGGGTGTACTTTGAGGGTTAGACTCTGCAGACCGTTTACATGCAGAAAAAGCTACATAACACAAGGGGACGGGTAATAACCGGAAAAGCATGACATGGGACCTTTAAGCAACATGGTAATGTTTGTAATTGATCAGTTGTATACTCAAGGTAAACATGCTTAGAAAATGAATGTATTTTTTGTTTTAATATCAAAGTAACAGCACTTCTACATGAGCAATATATTCCAGTTCTCTATCCATCCCTGGCCTGCAGCATTAGCTGTACTAGCTTAATTATAACAGGTGGCCAGCCATTTTCTTTGCCAGCCCAAGGGAGGCAGAGCAGGATAAAGCCAGCATTTTATCTACATTGGACAGTTAGTCCATAGTTAAGGCTGTAATAAATCTTGCTGACATAAATTCAGTGAACACCCCTGTAAACAAGGACTTGTGTTTGACCTAATGGCTCACACTGTGATATTACACATTTACTTCAGATTGTATGTGACTATCGGAATATTTTCTTCCTTGATTTACAGCTGTGTCTTCTGATTGTGTGTGTGTGTGTGTGAACTATTTTTGGTGCTAAATACATCACATGACCTGCATATACCACTGTTGCAACTCAGCCAATTCACTACAGCCCTGTGCTGTTCCTGGGGCTTGTTCCAAATATACAAGTGGGACATACAGCTTCCAACTATGGTGTATTGGCCCCAGAACTACACAGGACCTGATGTTGCTTCCTTAGCTAATACATTCATCCATATTCAACCGTACATGGGTGCTCGGGCTTTCAGCTGCTCGGCTCCCAGACTCTGGAACTCCCTGCCACTACACATCCGACAGTCTGATTCCATAACAACATTAAAAACCCACCTGTTCAAACTGGCATTTTCTTTATAAACTGTACCCTGTGTCCTCTTGTGTCCTTCTATAGTCCATTTTCCTGTTGTATGTCTTGTCTTACCCCGGCTGATACTTCACTAAATCCACTGTTTTAATTGTTCCCTATATTGCCCCTAAGGTGTCCTTGGGTGTTATGAAAGGCACCCCCCAAAATAAATATATTATTATTATATATAGAGTGGTGCAGTGATGACTCATTTGTGTTGACCAACCTGGAAGTTAGCATCCAAGGGCTGCCTCACCAAAAAGCCACATAACATAATTGGCAAACACAGATTATGATAACTACGTACATGTTTTGTTCAGCAGGATTATGTCCACATAGCTAAATACATTGCGGTCCCATGCTTTCACATCACCACCGCTAAGCTAAAGGTGGCTAATATTTCGCATTATGACGTTTAAAAAGCCTTATTTAGTCACTAATTAGCCATTTTTTAAAACAAAAAAGCGTTCACAAGTGGGGCATTTACTGACAGTTTTTTTGTCGTAGAACAAAAAGTGAACATCTTGCAAGCTTGTATAAAGACATTGAATCTCCACCAAAAAATGGTTGCCTTTGGGATTATGGATCCGAAAGTGGTAAAATGCTAACTCAATATCAGGTTTTAGAACTCAGTCCTGCACCGCTCTCTGCTGTGTTCATGACCATATACCTTATTTAAGGCATCCAACCAAAAACTCAGTCATAAATCCATTGACTTTGACATTGACAGCTGGTTCTGGCTGTCCACAGGGGTCTTAGGAGCCCACATTACCTCCACAGGGAGGCTTCTTGCAGGACTTGCAGTTCCACTCTAAGCTCTTTGCAGATGTTCAAGCTCTTCACCCTTTCTCTAAGGCCACTTTGTGAAATAAACTTATTTCAGCTCATTGTTGGAATGTAGATCCTTGGTTAGTGGTTGGGTTTGCCTTCAGGCTAAGCTCCCTCTGTACCGGAGCACTCAAGTAGAGCACCCACATTACTGCTGACATGGCAGTAATCTGCCAGTCAATCTAATCCATCCCATCCAACCGAATTCAAAAGTAGAATAAACTCTTAGATAAATAAGCAGGGAGTCGGATGAATATATTGCTCTATGGTTTCATTACTAGCTATTACATTTGAATGAATGTCATTATATGAGAACAAATGAGAAACTAATATTGCCAACAAGCTTTTTGACCAGAAATCTAACTGTCTTGCATCATCAGCCTTGCTCTTCTTTAACAATGTGTTTTGTGTTTAAAGTGCATGCTCTGCCAAAAATAAGTTCTGCTGATATCAAATCAAGCCCTCATAATTAATCGTCAGACAGCAGCCAGCGATCACGGTGTTTTTATTTTAATTTTCAACTTAGTTTTGGCTGGTTTAGTAAAGGTGTCTCTCTGCTTTGACTATGAGTTTTACAGTACCCCAGATTAAGCATGATCAATAATTGTGATCTTAATAATGATACAAAGAAATATGATAAAAGGTGCTTTCTAATTGAAAATGGCACTTTGAAATGGAAAGGTTTTTCTATATTTGAAAAGATGTGTTTGTAATGTTATTAACCAAGATGGCCCCATATAACAGATCCCAATTCAACCCCTGACTGTGCCATATTGTGTACGTTGTCATGCAAGCTGTATTTATCGAATCTCTGCATGTTAAAAAGTACTGCTAAACTTTTTTAAGCTGATATTACCTACGAGGTTGTGTTCTCAGTTTGCTGGATGTGTGTGCAGGGAGGATTACATTACACTTAAGGAAAGGCTTTTGTTGAGATATGAACTAGACACAACTAGCTTCTGTGTTAACATGTACAGGTTGTTAAATGTTTTTCTTATTTATCTTAGAGAGCTTCCTTAATCTCCCAGGACACACACCAATGCAGTGAGAGCGAAGAAAGGCCCTGAATTTACATTCAAAGCTAAACAGGAAGATACAGAGTGGTGTTTGAAACTCTTAAAAGCCTCCTGGGCCTCTACTTGGCCTCCACTATACCTCCACTTTACCACTTTCAATCCTCACCTTTGTAGGATGTGTTCCCTTCATGCCACTTAATTTCAATGATAGTCATCATCCTGCCTCTCACTTGGGTATTCTTTAAGTTATCTCAACACTTTGTTTCTCCCACAACAGGAGCTAATGCGTAGCGCGCTGTGTGTTTCCCTGCAGCAGGCAGAAGAGGCTGCACAGACGGAGGTTTCCCAGCTTCACCTGCAATCCAGCGACTCGTCGGAGAAGCAGCAGCCCAAGAGGTTACACGTCTCCAACATCCCGTTCCGTTTCCGAGATCCTGACCTCCGGCAAATGTTCGGGGTGAGATGACAACTGCACTACACTCGCACACACGCACACACACACACACACACACACACACACACACACACACACACACACACACACACACACACACACACACACACACACACAATGCTATTAAAGTGAGATATGCTGCACTACAGGGCAATCATAAATATCTAGGTGGAATGTCGCTCACCTTACAGCACTGTACTCCTGCTCTTGCCTGTAGGCTACTGTCAAGAACAGTAGCACAGGCAATCTTAGAAAGATTCATGACAGGAAATGCAACACTAGAATCATGAGCAAAGTAAATCATAAATGGGAGATCAATTATGAGCAGATTAACTAACTGTATCAACTTCTAGTATAGTATATAGTCAGGGTGTCCGCGGGGTCTTAACATTACATTACATTACATTGCATTTAGCTGACGCTTTTATCCAAAGCGACTTACAATAAGTACATTCGACCAGGAAGACACAACCTTGAAGAAAACAGAATCATATAAGTACATCAGGTTTCATAGAGCCAAACATTTCAAGTGCTACTCAACTGGCTTTAGATAAGCCAGTCCTTTATTAGTGCTTTGTTAATAATTCTATCGCTCGAAGTGGAGTCGAAAGAGATGAGTTTTCAGTCTGCGCCGGAAGGTGTGTAAGCTATCTGCCGTCCTGATGTCAATGGGGAGCTCATTCCACCATCTTGGAGCCAGGACAGAAAACCCACGTGTTTTCGCCGATGGGAACTTGGGTCCCCCTCGCAGCGAGGGCGCAGCGAGTCGTTTGGCTGATGCAGAGCGTAGTGCACGCGCTGGGGTGTACGGTTTAACCATGTCCTGGATGTGCGAAGGGCCAGATCCATTCGCAGCACGGTAAGCAAGTACCAGTGTCTTGAAGTGGATTCTAGCAGTTACCGGAAGCCAGTGAAGCGAGCGGAGGAGCGGAGTGGTGTGGGAGAATTTAGGAAGGTTGAAGACCAGACGAGCCGCTGCATTCTGGATGAGCTGCAGAGGTCGGATGGCACATGCAGGTAGACCAGCCAGGAGGGAGTTGCAGTAGTCTAGGCGTGAGATGACGAGAGCCTGGACCAGAACCTGAGTCGCTTTCTGTGTCAGCTGGGGACGTATCTTCCTGATGTTGTAAAGCGTGTATCTGCAGCAACGGGTTTGTAGCAGCGATGTTTGCAGTGAAGGACAGGTTGTTATCTAGGGTCACACCCAGATTCCTTGCAGTCTGAGTCGGGGAAACAACTGAGGTGCCGATGTTGATTGTTAGGTCAAGAGTGGGACAATCTTTTCCCGGAAGGAAAAGCAGCTCAGTCTTGTCAAGGTTGAGCTTGAGGTGGTGAGCAGACATCCACTGAGAGATGTCAGCTAGACAAGCAGAGATGCGTGCGACGACCTGGGTCTCTGAGCGGGGAAAGGACAGAATTAATTGGGTGTCGTCAGCGTAGCAGTGGTAAGAAAAACCATGCGGGCTAATGACTGATCCGAGCGAGTTTGTGTACAGGGAGAAGAGGAGGGGACCAAGAACAGAGCCCTGAGGGACCCCTGTAGTTAATTGACAAGGGTCGGACTCAGACCCTCTCCAAGTCACCCTGTAGGTACGGTCTTTCAGGTATAAGGTGAGGAGGGAAAGAGCAGAGCCTGAAACTCCAAGTTTGTGGAGAGTGCGAAGGAGGATCTGATGGTTCACCGTGTCGAATGCAGCAGACAGGTCCAACAGGATGATGACAGAGGAGAGGGATGCAGTTTTGGCAGTGTGCAGTTCCTCCGTGACAGCAATGAGAGCAGTTTCTGTGGAGTGACCTGCCTTGAAACCAGACTGGTGCGGATCCAGAAGGTTGTTCTGATTGAGATAACAGGAGAGTTGTTAAAAAGTATTACAAGTTGATAAATCAATTTAGTGAAAATTAAGGCTATTAAAAAGTATTAAACGTCATTTTCCAAGGTATTACATTTTGTAGCTTGTTTTCAATAAGTATATAAATTGCCCAAAGAGGTTGTATTCTACAGTCTGCCTGAATGTAATCATTGCGTAGGTGTGTAGTGTGATTCTGTGTAGTTTATTTATGGCATCCCGTTGGATGTGACGTCATCTGAACAGGACATCGCACACTCACTGCTTGATAGCGCGCGAAGGCCCGTTTACGCCGGTTGTTGAACAGCATCGTTACGGGGAAATGCAAGTTAGCGTCCAAATGGTTGGAAGATAAGGAGGAAGGACAATCCATACTGTATATAGTCAATGTGAGGTCAAGTGTGTTGCCAATGTTTTACATTTGACTTCAGGATTCCTGCATATACCCTGATAGTATTTAATAGGCTGTTAACCCCTTAATGTTAATTGTGATGTAATGTCTCAAAGAAATGAAATGAATAATGATTTTAAGTTGTGTTACAGTTGCTCCATTTTAGAAGGAAAACTATAAAAAAATTCAATAGAATAAATGAATAAAAACATAAAAAACTAAACTTAAACAAATTTAAATTGAACCAAATAAAAAATGTATATAATGTATGTTGGGGAATAATTTGCTTAGGTATTCAACCTTCGACACAGTTCATCATTTTCTCTTCTCACTGTCTCCTTTCCCAAGAACCAATCACTTCACAATCATTTATCAATCAGCTAACTTGTGTTCAAATCGATTAATTGTTGCTGAATTCAGAGAATTTATCACAGCGTCTTTAAATCCTCACCTCCCAGAAACAGAGGAGAACGGGGAGTCAGTGTTGGAATCAGAACATCAGGGTAGATCAAAGACGGGGCTCGTGAAATGCTTTCATGAGCATTTTCAGCAGATTTAACAAAAAATGTGTTTGCAAAGTGTGAAGTAAAAACTTCTTTGCAGCAATGCACAAAACTTTAAATAGAACTCATTCATAAAACTGGCCCCTTCATTGAGTAGAACACATGTGCTTGAGTCTAGAACAGCAACTAGAAGTGTCTCCATTCAGCTCTGTGAAGCTGTAAATAATTCACACCTTTACCTCCGTATGACCCCTAACCCAAATTACCCAGATCCTTTTTAGTGTTTCCATGTCCCTCTTGGAGACTTTGAGTGGTGGATAGCCACACTGTAGTTCTTCAACTCTTTGCTAATAAAACATGGTGTTTACAAGTATAATACAGGAAATGTACAGGGAAGTAATTATTTAACTTAAATAACTGTTAAATAATTAATTATTTAATTATAAAATAATTGTAAAAAGTCGTTAATCCACCATTGGATGGAGAGAAGTCTCTGCCGCGCAAATGCATCTCTGCATATTTGAATATCTAAGTGAAATGGACTAAGGTGGAAAAAAGATAGGGGACAGCTAGTACCATACTGAAGAATTGAAGACAGCCTAGTGTGTGTGTGTGTGTGTGTGTGTGTGTGTGTGTGTGTGTGTGTGTGTGTGTGTGTGTGTGTGTGTGTGTGTGTGTGTGTGTGTGTGTGTGTGTGTGTGTGTGTGTGTGTGGTGTGTGTGTGTGTGTGTGTGTGTGTGTGTGTGTGTGTGTGTGTGTGTGTGTGTGTGTGTGTATAAAGCAGTTGCGAGTGAACTTGATTTTTGCATACCTCAAAACCTTGGTCCCCATACAGAAATGTGGTCCCCGATTCAGATAAAAACCAGTATGTGTGTGTGTGTGAGAGAGAAAGTGCACCCAGGTGAAGTTTACCTATACATGCATGCAAACACTAACACACAATTTCACATTACTGAGTATAGATGACCTGTCACACATCCAGCATTAACATTTAATATACTATAATAAGACTGGAGATGTACCCCCCTTGAACACCACCACCCACCTTCCCAATTCCTCTAATGGAGTGGAACATCTGCTCCTGCAGTCACCTTGTTCCAGGAGGAGGGGGATGACCTCCTCGCCTTTTCCAGCCTCACAGCTCTCGATTTGACCCATCAGTGGAGACATAATTAATTGGATTCCTTAGCGAGGTTAAAAGGGAGTTTATCCTAATTAAGTATAGGGTGACAGCTCCAGTTATGGGTGAGCTATGTGTGCATGTGTTTAGATTTGTGTTTTAGCGTGTGTATTCTTGAAAAGGCGTGAAACTTTTTCCCAACAGTCATTTAGTGAAGTTTCCAGGGCACAGGACACTGCACCACAATTACCCAGTGAAATCATCAGGTAGAGGTGAAGTACAGATTGTGAGAAAGAAAGAAACAGACGGATAGGGAAGCAGGAGAAAGGAATTAGAAGAGACAGACAATCCGGTAGCTCTCACTTCAATCAGTGGTGCTAAGAGGTCATCCAGTCCTGTTAACAGCACCATCACAAAGACTTAGCATCCAAATCCCTGGGCCAGGAAACCTTTCCATCTAAACAAGTGAACATGTATCCTTCATGCTGCTCTATTAAACAGCAAACATAGCAAACAATTGATATTCAGTTGTATGACAATGAATACAACATAGCCGTTCAACCTAATGATAATTCCGTTTTTTCACAATATAGGGTTATTTCATAGTTTTCACCATCTTTTCTATCAGTAAAAGTGAAGGTTAAAAAGTAATATTCTATGACTAAATACCCTTTTAGACATGTACTTTTGTGCAATTAAAATGTCAAAACATTCAAGTGAAAGCAGCTGAACAAGGTTAGATACACAGGGATAATGAATGCTTATCAAAAGCTTACAACTGTAAGTAGCCATTTTGAAGTTGAGGATATTCTTATCATGTTAGATCATTTTAAGATGCTTTTTACTGGTCTCCTGTTTTATTGAGAGGTTTCCCTCCATCTGTGTCATGTCTGCTTCTACTCCCTGTCTGTGTGTGTTTTCCTGCCTGTTTGATTATGTGACCTGGCCTTATAGAGAGGCCAAGTCCCTCCCCTTCCGGGGGACCTCCATGGGACCTTATTTTGGAAAAATCATATATTGAAGTCAATGGAGAGAGAAAGATTATCTTTTGATCCCGTTTGAATTGTGCAATGAATTACACATATGATGTTTCTCAATTTAAAAGATAATTTTGCAAGTCAAAAAAATTAAAATGTGTCGTA